GCGAAGGATGTTGGGCCCAGAAACAAGCAAACCGCCTGAGACATCCCCACAAAATGGCCGCGAACGAGCCCGTGCAACCACCCCTGGCGGCTCCCCTTAGGGGTGCTGAAACCAGCGCCCGCCTGAGACATCCTCCAAATCTGCTCCAAGCGAAGGATGTTGGGCCCAGAAACAAGCAAACCGCCTGAGACATCCCCACAAAATGGCCGCGAACGAGCCCGTGCAACCACCCCTGGCGGCTCCCCTTAGGGGTGCTGAAACCAGCGCCCCGCCTGAGACATCCTCCAATCTGCTCTCCAAGCGAAGGATGTTGGGCCCAGAAACAAGCAAACCGCCTGAGACATCCCCACAAAATGGCCGCGAACGAGCCCGTGCAAACACCCCTGGCGGCTCCCCTTAGGGGTGCTGAAACCAGCGCCCCGCCTGAGACATCCTCACAATCTGCTCTCCAAGCGAAGGATGTTGGGCCCAGAAACAAGCAAACCGCCTGAGACATCCCCACAAAATGGCCGCGAACGAGCCCGTGCAAACACCCCTGGCGGCTCCCCTTAGGGGTGCTGAAACCAGCGCCCCGCCTGAGACATCCTCACAATCTGCTTCCAAGCGAAGGATGTTGGGCCCAGAAACAAGCAAACCGCCTGAGACATCCCCACAAAATGGCCGCGAACGAGCCCGTGCAAACACCCCTGGCGGCTCCCCTTAGGGGTGCTGAAACCAGCGCCCCGCTTGAGACATCCTCCAAATCTGATGTGTGTTGAGTAAGTCTGAGTATGAGTAGGTCTGAGTATGAGTATGCCTGAGTATGAGTAAGTCTGTGTATGAGTAAGTCTGTGTATGAGTAAGTCTGGGTATGAGTAGGTCTGTGTATGAGAAAGTCTGTGTGTGTCCGTCTGGGTATGAGTATGTCTGAGTATGAGTAATACTGTGTATGTGTAAGTCTGGGTATGAGTAAGTCTGTGTATGAGTACGTCTGGGTGTGAGTAAGTCTGTGTATGAGTAAGTCTGTGTATGAGTATGTCTGAGTGTGAGTAAGTCTGACTATGAGTAGGTCTGAGTATGAGTAAGTCTGAGTATGAGTAAGTCTGAGTATGAGTAGGTCTGAGTATGAGGAAAGAGGAGGAGGGAAGGAGGAAAGAGGAGGAGGGAGAGGGAGTAGGAGGCGTCCAAGTAATAACAAGAACCCCACCTTAGGATATGGGGAACAACAGGGTAGAAACCGACCGCATCCACTTCGCTGTGGGGCTGGTGTAAATGGGAACTCTTGCTCGTTCCCGACGCGCACTCGCACCTGAAGGGATCTTCTGGACACTACATCCATGGGGAAACTCGAAAACCGTAACACGAAGACCACAGGCCCAGGCCGTTCCGGGCCCGTGTCACTCGTGTTCGGCCTGCGCCTAACAGTCTACAAAGGAAAGAAAGGTGCTCTCAACCTGCGTACCTCGCACTGCAACGCTCTCGTCTTAGCGCTGGCCACAATCCTCCCCCCCTCGCAACAACAAACACGCACGCATTTGGCGCAATGCGACGTCTCAGCGCTGGCCACTCCTGCCTCTGACCTGTGCCGACAAAATGCTGGCCGCGTTGCCGCGGAATGGCCCCCTCGCCTTCGCACGGGCAGCGCTCTGGCGTCGGCATCTGGCGCTCTCGCCAGGGCGGTGGCCGCACTCCTGCCTCCACCCTGCCCTAATTATCCCTTCCCCCTCCCCATCATTCCCCCCATCCTCCAACTCATCATCGCGACGAGCAGGCCTGGGTCCGAGGAGCTGCGCCTTGGCCTACAATCAACCCGTATAATAAGGATGCGCGGTAAGGATGCAAGGGCCTTGGAGGGCCACGTTAGCGTTTTTCGAGCGAGGTTGGCCAACGAAAGTGGCCAAGTATGGGCCGAAGGGGCAAGGATGCGAGGGCACCCTTGGGAAGGTTGCCCATCCTTACTATGCGGGTTGACTGTACGCCTTGGCCTGCGCCCGCTGCCGCGGCGGCAGCTGGGCGCGCGGCAGATGCTGTGGCCCGGCCGCTGCCACACATCCCTGCGTGCAGGGCAGCCGCCCAGGGCTTCGGCAGGGTGCACTGCCGAGCGCGCGGAGATCGTACGGCACCTGCGGGCACACGTGGCGTGACTGCACGAGGTTGCCAGAGGTAGGAGGCAACTATAGTGGGAGGTTTCCGTCGGAAAGATTCAGCAGGATTAAGCCCCATTTGGGAGCTGTTACGCCGGAGGGGGCCTCGGACTAAGCGGGATTTAGCCGGATTAAGCGGGATGAAGCGGGGTTTAGCACGATCAAGCATTCCCAGAGATCCGATGTCGTGTTTTTTTCAATACGCGGTCCCCCGAAGTCTCGCCCCATTCCCTAGGACCGGACTTTCATCCTGAATCGTTTTTTGACGGCCCCGGGGCCCGGCGAGGGCCCCTGGAGGCGGAAAATTGAGAAAAACCTCCGTCTTGATTCTTTCAGTGCGTTGGATCTCTGGGTTTCGGACCAAGGCGGAAACAGAATTTGACCTCCCAGGAGCTGCCTCCGAACCGGAGGTGCCATCTGGGAGCCCCTTGCCGCCGCTGCCCGAGGCCCTCGAGGCGGTCGGGGCCCCGCCGGCGGGCGCCGGCGCGGTCTGCCACTGCGGCGCCCTGGAGTGCGGGTGCGCGCTCCGTCGGATGTCCCGCACGCGCTCACGGGGGAGGCCGCGGAGAGCGAGCCTCCGGCCTTCTTCTGGGAGGCCGAGGCTGGCGCCTGGGGCCCCGAGTCTGGCAGAGGTGGCTTAGGCTTCGAGTCGGCGCAGCCTGAATCGACGCGCTGCGGCTGGTCCGCAGTCCAGACCTGTCTCTGGCCCTCTCCCTGGCCTTCCGACCGCCGGCAGAGCTGCAGAGGTGAGCGCTGGGCTGTGCATCGTCTTGTCAAGCATACTGAGGCCATCCAGCATGGAGTGAATGATCGTCCGAGCCAGGCTTCTGAAGGTCATCCTGGGACCCAGCTCTCGAGTGCTACAGGGGGAAGCATGCTCGGACGAGGGAGGCTCATTTCCGGGCCGGTCGGCTCCCGCGAGCCAGTTCGTTTGGTTGGACGCAGACCCACAAGAGCCCCGATGAGGCCCTCTCTCTGGGGGTCCCTTCAAGTGGTGGTGGGCAACATGAGGGCTGACTGGTTCGCCAAGCTCGGAACGCCGTGTCGTCGGTCCACGCTGAACACGCATCGTCCGAGCTTCAGCGTGCCGAGGCGGCCTTCAGATGTGGTGCCTGGGCGGTCTGTCGGGCGGTGGAGCTCGACCTGTGGCACGACCCGCCAAAGTCTCGGGTCGAGGCCCTCCGCATGGAGGCCGCTGCCCACCCAGGCGCGGGCGGCCTGTATTTCGATGACTTCAGCCGGCGGCGAGCGAGGGGGGGAGCGAGAAGGAGAAGACCTTCTCGGAAGGCGGCGGGACTTCTCAGAGGTCCTCGCGCCTTCTGAGAGGTGTTCTGTGTCTGCGGGGGAGGCTTAGAACACTTCTCAGAAGGCCAGGGCACTTCCGAGCCTTGTGAGAAGGCCCGCCCCTTCTCACAGTGAGTCGCTTCCCGCCTTGGCTTCGCTCCCGAGGGAACAGGGTCCTGGCATGGGGGGGAGGCGGGTCCTGAGGGTAACGTGTCCTGGACCCTGGTGCCTCCCCACCCCACCACCTCCTCCTCCTCCTCCTCCTCCTCCTCCTCCTCCTCCTCCTCCTGGAGCCTGGTGCCCTCCCCCACGACGAGCTCCCCGGCCCGCCGCCGACAAGGACTTCAGAGGTCGCGTCGGAGGTCGGTGCGTGTCCGAAGCACCGGCGGCAGCCAGTGAGGCTCTGGGGTCCGTCTCTGCGCCGCCGGGGGGAGCAGGCAGGCGGGCTCGAGTCGCTGTGGGGAGCCGGAGCACGCTGCAGGTACCCACGGGCCAGCTGTCTGCTGCGCCCGCTGTGGGGCCACGTCTTGTCTTGCCCCCATCGTACTTGAGGACCACATCCCAGAAAGAATTTCGAGCTCACGGGAAAGTGTCGAAAGAGTGTCGAAAGAGTGTCGAAACAATGTCTCCCAGGACCCGACACGTGAAAACACTCGAGTTTTGGGGTGCGCTCGAACTTCTTTCTGGTGATCAAGGCTAAAGCCACATCGGGGGAGGAGGGTTGGAACGGGCGCCCGAAGCTTGATTCAGCGTGACTGGGGCCTCTTCCAACCCTGCCACCAGGGCCAACCGAAAGCGGAGGGCCGAGCTGGTGCGGCAGGGTATCGATCCAAAGACGGGGACCGCACTAGCCCCCTCCGTCAGGGTGGCAAAGTGATAGAATCCCACCAGCCCTTTAAAGCGTGCGCGGATTTAGGCGTCTCTTCGTCCAACCGCCATTCTCCCCCTTCGGGGAGAGGGTTACCCCTCCAACGACCCCCTCCCCTTGGACCTGGACGGGAGGGTTCGCGACCCAGTGGAGCGTCCAAGATGGCATCGACGAGAAAGCAACAATCATGGTCTCCTCCCAGATAGCCCCAAGATGACCTCCGACCAAGAGGCTCCCTAAGAGACGCCCAGGTGACCCCAAGGGGCCTCCAAGAGGCCCCCAAGAAGTTCCAGGCTTCCCCGATGTACCATAGACGCGTTAAGAGGCCCTCAGGCCCGCCAAGAGCGCTCCAAGAGGACTCCCAGAAGCTATCAATGGACATGTGAGGCATACAAGAGGCATCTGGTGGCCATTCTGTTCGCCCTCCTCCTCCTCCTCCTCCTCCTCTTCCTCCTCCTCCTCCTCCTCCTCCTCCTCCTCCCTCTCTGCCTTATCCGCGTATTCTTTCTCGTCCCTCCTCCGCCCCCCTCCCTCCCCCTCCCCATCCTCCTCCGATTCCTCCTGTCATTCCCCTCTTGGGGTATGAGGCTTCCCAAACCTCTGATTCCACTGTCTCGCCCCCTCCCCCTGCTCCTTGGAATCTATACCGAAGGGGGCTCTTCCTCATACTGATATCCTCCCATCCTTTTCTTAGAGACCACGGTCAGTGCTGGATCGCACACCCATGTCGCATCCATATCTCATCCATGCCCCATGATGTCTCGGTCCTTCTCGCGTGCATGTCATGCTCATGCCGCATCCGAGACGCACATGCGACAGCAGATCCACACAAAAACGCCAGAGCAGACATGCGATTGCACTGGCTTCAGGGCAGGCCCCGACGAATGCAGGTCCTCCTGCGCACTCTTCACCAGCACCCACGCGGAGGGCCTCCCCAACGGGGCCAGAGCGGAGGGTCGTCGCGCCGCACCGCCGATACCTCGGCGACGCCCGGGAAGAGCACGGTCGAACTCCGGGTGGGGCGCGTCGCTGGTGCATCGGCGACGCGTGCGACGCCATCCTCCGATCTCGCCCCTGGCTCCGCCCCATCGGGGAGGCCTGGAACCGCACAGCGGACCCTCCCCATCGCTTGCCGTCGCTCGGACGTCCATTTCCCGTGCATTCTTCGGTCTCGTGCGCGTTGTTTTTGCTCGATGGTCCAGGATGGTCCTCGATGGTTCTCGCGATGCCAAGGTGGAGGGACGCGCCGCACTGCCGATACCTCGGCGACGCCCGGATAGAGAGCACGTCGACCTCCGGGGGGGCGACGCGTCGCCGGTGCATCGGCGATGCGTGCGACGTCACCCTCCCCAGAGATTCAATGCGCGGTCCCCCGAAATTTCGCCCCATTCCCCAAGACCGGTTTTTCATCCTGAGTCGTTTTTTGGCGGTCCCGGGGCCCGGCGAGGGCCCCTAGAGGCGGAAAATTGAGTCTTGATTTTTTCAATGCGTTGGATCTCCGGGTCCGATCTCGCCCCTGGCCCCGCCCCATCGGGGAGGCCTGGAAATGCACACAGCGGACCCTCCTTACCGGCTGGACGCAGGAGTGGCTCCGGGTGAGAGTGACCCTCGGTGCGCGGTTTCTGTCGGGCGTTGACAGAACTGGGCTGAGTGGAACCTGGTTTGGTGATGCGCGCTGGGGGACGCCCCTCCCGCCCCGTTCCACTAACCGGAACTGCCGTCACCCGAAAAACACCAGCTACGGCAGACCCGGTGTAGTGATTCTGGCCAATTTAGGGGCTCCAGGGCCCTGCTACTGACCGGGTCCCCCTACCTGGGGTCCTGGCTGTACCCGACCTTTGGGGGTCCCGAGGGCGTCAGACCCAGGCGCGCGGGCCGCTGCTGCCGCGTCGCGCCCAGCGTTCGGGGGGCCGCGAGGGGCCCGCACCACAGAGGCCACTCCGGCGAAGGGTCACTCTTACGTGTAGCCGACCCCAGAAATCCGCCGATCTGGTGTTTTCAATCCGCGGCCCCAGAGGTCCCGACCCCTCCCCTCGGGGGGTGGTCGTTCGTCCCCGATCCATGTCTGATAGTCTCCGGGCCCCATAACGGGCCCAGGAGGCCGAGATCCAGGAACAACCGCCAGATTGGAAAAACGCCAGATTGAAACACCGCTCCGATCTCTGGGACCCCGGCGCCTGGTCCAAGAACTCGTCCGGCCGCCGGTCGTTGTGGCCGCCCGCAAAGGCGACCGCCGAGCTCTGGCCACCCCAGGCGCTCCTCAGGTCCTGCTGGCCACGGGCGGCGGGTGCCGTAACGAGCCCCTCACCCTCGAGTAGCTAGGGCTCCCAACTTCGCGCTTCGCGCTGCGCGAAGCGCGAAGCGCGAATAACTTCGCGCTCTCGCGCCGCCCCCCCAAAGGGAGAATAGGAGGACGAGGAGGAGGGGGAGAAGGAACGAGGACCGCGAAGCGCGAAGCGCGAATAACTTCGCGCCCTCGAGGGAGCCCTTGGAGTAGAGACCTCCTAGATGGCGTGGGAATAGATGGGGTCGGAGGATCGCGTCGCATCGCCGGTACATCGGTGATGCATGGGTGACGCATCGGCGATGCACCGGCGATGCATCGTCGACGTCGGCGGATGCATCGGCGACGTCGCCGTGAAGCAAATCGGGCTGCACATCGAGCCGCATCGGCGATGCATCGGCGATGTGGCGCGATCCTCCGACCCCGTCTACTCGGACCCCATCTAGGAGGCCTAGATCGAGGCTCCCCTCCGGCCGCCTGCGCGCGCCTGGAGGCGAGGCGGGGGGGTCGTCGCAGCAGGGATCGGGCCAGAGGTCGGCCAGCCCGGGGCGGGAGTGGGTAGCGAGGATCAAGAGCGGAGGGGACCCAGACTTTTTGACGTCGCGGCGCGGCAGAGTCGGCTACACGTGAGAGTGACCCTAGGCACGAGGGGCCCTGGGTGCGCGGCGTCAGGGGGGCGCGGGGGGACCCAAATCCAAGCGCGCAAGCCGCCGAGATGGCATCGCTTTCAGTGGTCGGGAGAACCCGTGGGGCCCGCACCAAAGGGGCCCCTCCGGCGAAGGGTCACTGTTATACGTGCCGTCGACATGGAGGCCGTCCGCACGCGCGCCCGGGCGGTCCGGGCAACGGAAAGCGCGAGTTCACCGGCTGCACGAGGAAAAAACAGGGGCGGGGCGGCCGCCGGGTGGGGGGGGGGAGGGCGAGCGCTCCCATGGCGGAGGGGGCCCAGACACGCGACGTCCTGATGTTTGCAATTCGCGGTCCGCTGAAGTCTCGCCCCTTTACTCGGGACCCGTTTCTCATCCGGAATAGTTTTTGCTGCGGGTCCCGGGGCCCAGCCCCAAGCAGAGAATGCCTGGGGAGCTGGCTGCTGCGCCCAAACCTCGGAGGATAGATCAGGCTCCAGAGGCACGCGGAGCGGGACCACACGACCATCTGGCCGCTGCGGCGTAAGCGCAGGGCGGGTCTGGACCTCAGCTGGCCAGACCCGTCCGACACGCGGGCCCAGGATCTCCAGACCCGTTCCCAAGGACTTACAGGGAGGAAGAACTTCATACACATACACTTACGTCGGGCCTGTCCCCCTACAGGGGGAGCTTGGACGAGAAAAAGAAATACTCACAAAGTACTCCAAATATACAACAAAAAATACTCAAACATTAGGTCCCGCATTATTTTTTCACAATTTTTGAATATCCCCCTGTAGAGCGACAGGCCCGACTTAAGCATGCACTTGAAACGGCCCGTGCGGATCTCGGATCGGCGCTGCCACCCTCCCTCGGCGGCGCCTCCCGCGCGACATGGAGTGGGTTTCAACGCAGATCCAAGAACTTCGCGCAGAACGTCAACAACTTCTGCTTACGCAATCGGACATAAAAAAACAGACGGACAGTTCGCACACCTACATAGGCTCGACATGTTTCCGCAGGCACGATAGATAACCGCACTCCTGGGGTACATCAATTATGTAGTCGATCTCCGACTCGAAAGAAGGCAAGGAGCGAGGGATGTGGAAAGTAGTCCTGGAGCATCGACAACGTCCCCTCCCCTATCGAGTCGGGCATCGAACAACCCTCGTGTGCTTCAAGCGATCACCCTCCCTGAGAACGAGGCGGGATACTCAGGAGAGGACCAGGACCCTTTGGGCCTGGCGGCCGCGGCATGCAATCGCCATCCTTCGAAGACGAGTTGCGGGATACCCGTACCGGGACCCTGTGGGCCTGGCGGCCGCGGTATGCAGGGCGTGCGAGGTGGAATGGGGAGCTCTTTCCTTCACGAGGACGAGAGTGATGTCACAAAGCGATTGGCTCATGATCCCGCCGCATCGCCAATCCATCCTCGATAAATCGGCGATGCATCGGCGACGTCGGCGGCGCATTGGCGACTTCGGCGTGGGGAAACACGAGCTCCACATCGAGCCGCATCGCCGATGCATCGGCCTTGCGGCGCGATCCTCCGACCCCATCTACTCGGACCCACCTAGGAGACCCAGGGCCTGGGCCCATGACTCAAGGGGCCTGGGCCCAAGGTGGCCAAATGCTCCAGAGCGGCACGATGAGAGACGTGGAGACAAATTATTTTGAATCGGCGATCACCGGGGTTGGTTATCCCGGGGGGGGGGCATGATGGATGGGGCCGGCCGATGTTCTGACCTTCGCGCTGTGGGCAGCCCTGCATATGCCCGCGCCCCCCCTCCCGCGGACCTGCACAACTGGCAAGGTTAGATTATCGGGGGGGGAAGAGGGGGCAAGCCCGATCACCCGGGTTATCGCCCGACCCTAAAAAAAATAGTCTCGAGGAGAGACGTGGCCACCTCGGGCCACCAGGCTCGCCTCTGGCGGGCCCCGAGGCCGGGAGCCTCACCAGGGCGCCCTTAAGAGCCGCGGGCCCGCTGCTCCGCCGCTCGCCGCGGCAGCCGCGCGGCAGCGTGGGCTCCGCCCCGCGACCGCGGGCGGAGCGCCACAGGCAGCTCCGGGCCAGCGGCTCTGGAGGATGCATCGGGCGCCGCGGCCTTCTCAGAGTTGGGAGAGCTCTCAATACACCACCACCGGCCCTGGCCTGGCCTATCGTGGGCCCTGGGCTGGTGGACGGGTCTTTCTGGCCTAGGCCAGGAGGTCCGTGCACCGATCCAGGGCCCAGGAGGTGCCTGGCCAAGGCTGGTGGTGGTGTATAGTTGGCGTCCCTCCGAAGCGTTCCGGAGCGCTCTGAGAGCGCTCCAGAGCTGCAGGGAGCAGAAAACCACCCTCACAAAACAAGCACGCCGACAAGCGGAGCCGCTCCGCAAGCGCACCCAAGGCAAGAATCGAACACGGCTGGCCTATAGGGCCGCGTCGTGAAACGCCAATCATGGCGGCGGGTCTTCCCGTCCATTGAAGAACGCTCTGGAACGGATCTGTCCTCGTCCTAGCCACGCAGGACAGGCCCCCTCCGGCAGCGAGCGGACGGCCAAAGGGGGGGCAACGGGCGCCCGCAGAGAGACAAGCCAGGACGGCCGCGAGCGTGCCCGGCGGGCCCGAGCTGGGGGAGCAGGAAGGTATCGGAACCGCTACTCCCTGGACCTCTCCCAGGGTGCGTTCTGACCAGAACTTCGAGGCGAATCCAGCCGTGGTGACGAAAGCAATCGACCTCTCCAGGTGCGAATCCCCCGACCAGTGGTGCAGAGACCGCTACTCGCTGGACCTCTCAAGGTTACGGTCTGAGAAAATCTCAAAAAGTCCTTCCAGCCATCGCGAAGAGCACCTCCCCAAATACAAAATGCCTCGATACTCAACATCCGGAATTGGAAACGACGCTGGCCCCGTCGAGACCCTCCGACCGATCCCCCGGGGAGGCCCTCCGCGCGGTGCGGGTGCATGAAGCCGTCGCCCCTCCTCCCGCGACGCCGCGACTCCCCAGACTCCTGACCAGAATGTCGGGGCGAAGCCAGCCGTGGCGACGGAGAGGGCCCGCCGGAGCGAGCAGCGGTGCTCTTTCCTTCCTCCCCCGACCGAACAACTGATATACCCCGACATCCGACATGAGGTTGTCAATCCACGGCCCAAGAACCCCCGACCTCTTCCCCGGGGAAGTTTGCCGTCCCGGATCGGTGTTCGATGGCTCCTGACCCGAGAACGGGACCCAGAGGCCGAAGTGCAGAAACACGTCTGGACTGAAACGGTCAAGTCGTCGGAGACGTCGGCACACGTCGAGCCCCCCCCCCAGCCGAACCCCCCAGGCGGTCCTCCGCGTGGTGCGAGCGCACCAGGCCTGAGGAGCAACGATAGGCGGGAGGGGCTCAGGGGAAGGAAACATGGACCTGCAATCGGCGCGATTATCGACCGGCGGTAGATACCCAATAGCAAATCTGCACCTTCCTGGGCGGAGTGAGCCATTGCCACCCTACCGGCAATCAATGTTGGAGGCTCGGAAACGGGCACCACCACCTAAACAGTGGGGTGCGTCCACCGAGTTAGGATGATCCTAGATTTTGGCGCTCGTGGTAATATTTCGGCCAACTGGGAAGCTCGAGCATCACCGCCATCACCGAGATCGGGATCGTGTTCCCGCAGTGGAGGCACACCGCCGACATTTGGTGTTGGTGCAACCTCCGGACCGCCGACAGTGAGCGGTTGGGGGTCGATACATCGCGACCGTTTCTTCCTGCCCTGGGCAACGGTCGTTACACGGGGGGGGGGTCGGGCGGGAGGGCAACGGCGGTGACGGCGGCCGTGGCGTGCACCCGCCAGGATGCGCACGCGCCACCAGCGCATCGATCGATCGCCTGTGCGCAGCCACAGCATGGAAAGGGGGGGGGGGCCAGGCCCCCGCCCCCCAAGTACACTCCACGCCGGAAGAAGTGGGCAGAAGCATGAACTGGGAATGCGTTGGAGGTAGGTTGGGCTTCCGCCCGCCCCCTGAAGTGGAGGGAAGAAGGAAGCCCGTCGATCCTTGAAGTAGGAAGGCGCAAAACGTAGAATGAGATCTGGGAATCCAATCATGCCTGCTTCCAACGATGGGCGTGCACGATCGTTAACGTGACCCGGGAGGGGTGAGGTGGCCTGGGCAACGAGCGTCACCCTTGGGAGGAACAGGAACCGCTCACCCTGAGATCCCGTGCCCCCCAACTGAACATCGTTTAACCGATCCCCATCCCCACCAGCGTGGGCTGGGCCCCACTGGCCGATTCACCCCCGAGATGGGGATGTGGGCGGTTCCCTTCGGGCTTCGGGGGGCACATCCCCAACTGGGGTGGTGGGATGGTGGGGATCGGGGCGGGGCCGGGCCTGGGCACGGGGATCGGTGAAAGCGATCCTGAGCACCGTTGTCCCCCGAGTGCCGTCGCCCCGCGCGCACGCGAAGAGCGCAGGGCACCTCGCCCGCGGCGCGGCGAGGGCGGGCGCCACGGCGCACCTGGCGGGGGACGCGGCCGTGGCCCGCCCCCACGTTCCGGTCGGGCGTGTCCTACTGCAGGCGGATTCTGGAGAACAGCCACACGGACCTAAAACATTCTCAAAAAGCAAAAAAACAAACTCATCGAATCGTCCCCAGACTATGTTTGGACTATTGTGGAATATTCCTCCTGTAGAGGGACGTGCCAGACTTAACCTTACGTTCGTTTTGATGCAAGGGCCAACCACAGCGGTGTTTCAGGCGGCAAAAAAAAAACGACACGAAGCCCAACGTTGAAAACGAACGTTTGGAACGGCATCGGTGCCAAGCAAGACGAAAAGACGAAACGAGGCGTTATGAACAAAAACGATCAACAAGACGAAATAACAACGAACAGCGAAACGAGAAACATAACAAAGGCCCGAATCAAGCTAACTACATGTTCTGTTCCCGAACCTCATGCTGCATCTCCGCTGAACGTCGTCTGTCCCATCGGGCAGCCATGCGTGTCGCATCTGTGTCGAATTCATGTCGAACGCGTCGAATCCGCATCGAGCCCGTGTCGAATCCATGTCGAATCCACGTCGGATTCACGTCGAGTCCGAATCGAACCCACAGCACTCCCTAGAACGCTTCACATACCGACCGGCACTGCCCCGCCCAGGGCACACGTCGAAGCCAGCGCGTGCCTCCACCTCCCCGCGCACGGCCTCCAGCGCCGCGCCGACGAGGAGCCTCGGCACCGGCAGCGCGGCCTCGATGGGAAGCGTTGGGGGGGTGGGGACATCCGTCCTCCCTTTTTCCTTCCCTCCCGCGTTCCTCCCTCCTCCTCCCTCCCTCCCTCCTCCTCCTCCTCCTCCTCCTCCTCCTCCTCCTCCTCCTCCTCCTCCTCCTCCTCCCTCCCTCCCTCCTCCTCCTCCTCCTCCTCTCCTGCTCCTACTCCTCCTCCTCCTCCCTCCCTCCTCCTCCCTCCCTCCTCCCTCCCTCCTCCCTCCTTCCTCCTCACCCCCCTCCCTGCCTCCTCCATCTCCATCTCTCACTCCTCCCCCCCCCTCCGCCTCCACCCGGCACAATGACAGGTTTCACATAAGGCGTTAATTCCGCGTGCAGCTCTGGCCTCTGGTGCGACATTGGAGCCCTAGTCATAATACAGTTCTCTCCACCGCCTCCTCCTCCTCCTCCTCCTCCTCCTCCTCCTCCTCCTCCTCCGCCTCCTCCTCCTCCTCCTCCTCCTCCTCCTCCTCCTCCTCCTCCTCCTCACCCTTCCTCTTCTCGCCCTCCCCCACCCCCCTTGCCGCGAGAGGCACGGGGGACGATGAGGGGATCGGCTCAGGCGGGGGGGGGACATGGAGCCGGAATTAGGTCGGGCATGTCCCCCTGCATGCGGATTTTGAACGAGAAATAAAAGTGGACAAACAATGCTCAAACATGGTCAGACATGCTCAAACAAAACGCCCCAAACTTTCGTTTGGCTTTTTCATGCTATGTCTGAATCGCTTCCCTGTAGAAGGACAGGCCCGCGTCGTCGAAAAATCACCACGGGAGGTATTTTAGTGTTGCCAGCCTCCGAGGGCCACCGCCCGGCTCCTGGGCCGTCCAAGAGCAGACCCGGGGGGGAGAAACCCTCCCCGGGAGAGGGGTCGAGCCCTCCGAGGGTCAACGCTGTGAACCCAACGTGGCTCGGGGGGTCCTTCTAAGAAGGCCCTGTGGGCGTCAGTATGGGCCCCAAAGAACGGGGGCTTTCCGCGAAGGCAGGGCGCCCCCCTCCCCCTCCCCCTTTTTTTTTCATGGGGTGCTTGACAGGTTCAGGGGGTCCCCGGCGCAAAGGACCCTCGGCCTTGGGTGCGGCTCCCTGGACGCCCAAATGGTACGGAGAAAACCGGCACAATGCCCAAGAACAAACGTTGTCCAAAACAGGCAGCGGCCTTTGTGGGGCGGGCGGTTCCTTGCCTTCAATGAACAACGTCCGCGGCGGCGCGGACAACTTGGGCATCGTACCCCACCATGTCGTACCTATTTCGGTCGTCCCGGCCTTGGACGCCCCAAATGGGTACTGAGAGCATGGGCGCAATATGCCCACCAACAAACGTTGTCCAAAACAGACAAACGCCGCTGTTGGGCGGGCGGCTCCATTTGTTCAATGAACAACGCCCGCGGCGGCGCGGACAGCGACTCTTGCTCAAAATGATCACGAACTGCTGTTTGGCATCTTACTTTATTTCGGTCGTCCCGAACATTGAGCTTGAGCCGGCGATGCACCGTCGCCACTTCGGCGCCCCGGATGGCGAAACCGCGCGTTCCTGGGCAAATTGGGCTATCGGGCTCCTGTCGGCGATGGGTGGGTGATGAAAAATCGAAGCGTTCTCCTCTGAGCCTACTTCCGCACACCCCCCGTTTACGTTCGTTGCCGACGGGCTTGCGGGTCACACCGCGGCTCTCCTCAGCCGTTCGGGACGGAGCGGGCACCCTCAGAAAGCCCCCGGCGAGGCGCAGCTGCCTAAGCTCATCCCGAAACTGGAGAGCCGACGAGCACCGACGGGAACGCACGAAAACCTCGAATTTCGAATACCTCTCGCCCATCATGGCCCCCCCCTCCAATATGAAGGGGACTCCGGGACACACAGGTAAATAAGCATAACCTTCGGATCCCCCCATAACTCCCATCTTTTATGGGCATTCGTCCTTCGCTCACTTCCCATAAATTCACATCTTTTCCCGGGAATTCGACAAGTCACCAACTGCTCGCGATGATACTCCCAGGGGGATGCTAAAGTTCGGGGGTCTGGCGGGGATAATCAAATACTTCCCCGGCGAAGGTGGTGTTATGATGATGGTGCTGATGATGGCAACGACGATGAAAATCCTGAGCGCTCGTGTAACCTGACCTTGTAGATCTTGGCACAAGGCTGACTCGAGAAATCTCGAAGCTCGTGGTTACAACTTGCCTGCGCAAGAGGTCCTTGGCGCTCCTGGCCAAGAAACCTCTCTTGCGCACGGCCTCGAACCACTCGCCCATGCAGGCTCGGCATCCTTTGGGGCCGTCCTTGCACGGGCGGCACTTGGTGCAGGCCTGGGCGGCAGCGCTTGCCTCCTCGAAGGTGGCGCGCTTCGGCTCGACCGCCGTGGGGTCCTTGAAGGACTTGGACTTGGCCTTGCTCTTGGCTTGGGCCTTGGCCTTTGCCTTGGCCAAGTCGTTGCCTTGGCCTTGGCCTTTGCCTTGGCCAAATAAATGGTGAGACCACCATTGCCATGCTCAGCGCTTTTGAGGCTGTAGCCAATCAACATAAGATGATCGCAACTTCGATTCGCAACTTCCCCTGGGGATTCTCGAGTTCGGCCTCCGCGCCCTCTTCACAATTAAATCCGATTGACACGGACCGTGTGTGTTTTTTCCCCCTCCTCCTTGATGGCCGAAGTCTTCCGCCTCTGAGTGCTCGCCCTTCCCCCCCCCCCCCCCCTCCCCCACCTCCCCCCCGCGGCATCCCCGTCCTCCTGCTCCCCAATCCTGCACGCCAGCCTTTTCGCTTCGTAGCGCCCTGCATCGCTGCCACGCTGGAGCGGATTGCCCCGCCTCGCCGCCGACGAAACAAAGTTTTATCCCCTCCTGGCATCAACTAGAGGCCTCCTAGATGGGGTTGGAGTAGATGGGGTCGGAGGATCGCGCCGCAGCGGCGATTCATCGACAATGCATCGGTGATGCACTGGCGATGCATCGTCGTCGTCGGCGATGCATCGGCGACGTCGACGTGAAGCAAATCGGGCTCCACATCGAGCCGCATCGTCGATGCATCGGCAATGCGGTGCGATCCCCCGACCCCGCCTACTCGGACCCCATCTGGCAGGCCTAGAACAGCGCTGCCCCCGAGGCCTGGTCCGCGAACTCCGCGCACACCGTCCGCAGGTCCGTGAACGCGGAGTCGAGCACGCAGGCGGCCAGGGACCTGTCCCTGGCCGCCCGCAGCACCGCCGCGGCGGCGCCCATCGACCGGCCCCAGAGCGCCACGGACGGGACGCCAGACCTCCGAGGAGGAGAAGGTTGCCTTGCATCCTTCTCGCCTCGGTTGGAAGAAGAAAAGACGCCATAAATTTGCCGCCCCTCGGACGTCCATTTCCCGTGTATTTTTCGGTTTCGTGCGTGTTTTTGTTGCTCGATGGTCCAGGATGGTCCTCAAAGAAGGATCCTCGCCGAGAAAAAAAATAGACACGTCCGAGCGACGCCAGGTAAACATACACTTTTGGCGCTCCGCGCGGCTTTCTTGGGTCTGCGCTGGAACCCCCTCTCTGGTGCGCGGAGCGCGCCAGGGGCGGCACCGGAGGCGCCGCAGGGGGGGGCCCAGCGCGGATCCAAGGAGTCCGCGCGGAGCGCCAAAAGTTTATGTTCATGGCGTCTTCTTCGACTTGCCTCGTTCTCGTCTTTGTGGGACTCTTGGGAGGCCCTCATTTCCACGGCCCGATCCGCCTCGATAGTCTGGTCAGAACTCGCACTGGGGGAGGTCTGGAGAGTAACTGTGTGGGTGAGTTCTTGTTTCCCTTCAGACCTGCGGAGGTGCCGCAAGACCACGCCCAGGTCCTTCTCCTCCAGCGGAAGAATAAACTGCGTACGTGCAGACTTCGGCGCTGGTTTCTAACACCGCGGAGATTGATCAACCTTGAACGATTGGCCGTTTCCGAAGCGTCAGCTCATGCAGCATCTACCGATTCTGAGTCGCAGGCGGCGCTCAACGCTGAACGTTGGCGGCGGGGTCGCCACCGGTCCAAGCGATACGAACCTGCCGTATGCTTGTGCTGTTGTGTTATTCCTCGGTCTCCTCGTAGTGCCCCAGGGACACATAGTCGCCCGTCGAGTGGCCGCAGCCGGCGAAGTCGAAGGCGAAGACGCTGACATTCCTCTCAAGCAGCCTCGGGACGACCCACAGCGCCTCCAGCCTAGAGGAGCCGCTCCCGTGGAGGTAGACGGCGCAGGGTGCCGGCGCGCCCGCAGCATCGGCGGCGGGCCGGAAGTGGCTGCACTCCAGCGTGTGGCCCTGGGTTAGAAGACAACTTCTTGGATGTCTTCGTGGGAACGATTCCGGGATACTAATCTCGACTCGGGGGGGGCATTGGGCCGATCAACCCAACGTATGCACAAGATTGATCGCGATGAAGCGGGATGAGCCCACACTGGGCCCTTTGTTCTCGACCATGGATACACGCTAGCGCCGACGCTGCATTTGACCTCCCAGTAGGGGCATTCGAGCCTGGGTGCTCGTGAGCTGGATGTCAGTCCGCGTGCAGAGCTGGCCGGCGACGTCGAAGACCTCCAAGGGGGACACCAGAAGGTACCGATACCGCTACTCCCCGGACCTCTCCTGGGGTGCGTTCTGACCAGGGTTTCGAGGCGAATCCAGCGGTGGCGACGAGGGCCTCAAAGAAGGCCCGAAAAAAGGAAAACGAGGGAAGGGTAGCGGTATGGGTACCTTTTCCTCCTTTGGTCCGTCCAGAGGAAGAACGAACGGCAGAACCACGAAGTTTCGGAGCTCCACGCGGATGTCTTGGATCGGGAGCCTGTGCGCTTCCCCCCCCCCCTCTCTGGCGCGCGGAGCGCGATAGGGGCGGCGCCAGAGGCGCCGCCACGGGGGGCCCAGCGCCGACCCAAGGAATCCGGTCGTGGTTCCTTCTTCAAACCCCTTCCTGTACCTCCTCATGCTATGAAGGGGAACTGGAACACACAAATAAATACACACAAATGAAAATATCCCCCATATTTTCCCATATTTTCTGGGTTTCTGTCTTCCCCCCCACTTCCCATATTTTCCCATATTTTCTGGGAATCGCCGATTAATTGTGTCTGTGTGTTTTTTCCCCTCCTGATGCTGGTCCTCCTCGATCTCCTCACCAGGCCAACGTTTCCCTCCCCCGTGCAGCTCCGCGCAGACCTGCGAGCCCGTATGGCTGTGCGGATGTCCCTCCCCCGAACCTCAGGAGAGCCCAGAATCGAATCGATGAGTCGGATCGGGAATCGAAATACATCGGATCGGCGGAAATCGGCAGCCGAGACGGAAAAAGTCGAATCGGCGGAAATCGGGAGGCTAGTATGTCTCCAATAAGAGATCGGTACCCAAATCGGAATCCCAAATCGAATCGAATCGGAATCGGAAACCGTCGAAATCGAATCGAATCGAATCGGAGGAATCGAAATGAGCCCTGGAACCTCCGGGCCGAGCTCGGACAGCCCTGCACACGCCGGGCCGAGACGACGGCGGCTCCACAGCGGCCCCTCTGACCCCTCCCCGGGGGGCCCAGGCGCACAGGTGTCCCGGGCTGTCTTCTCAAGGGCTCCTAAGTTCGCGCTTCGCGCTGCGCGAAGCGCGAAGCGCGAATAACTTCGCGCTCTCGCGCCGCCCCCCAAGGGGGAGAAGAGGAGGGCGAGGAGGAGGGGGAGGAGAAACGAGGACCGCGAAGCGCGAATAACTTCGCGCCCTCATGGGAGCCCTTGCTTCTGGCCGTGGCGACGCGGGGCCCCTCCGAAGGCCAACTGCGCACGCCTGCCTCCACTCGCCCATTCTCGGGTGCTCTCTCTCTCTTCCAGGGCTGAGGCTGGACGGTGTAGTTCGTTCTCGTGTTGCGTTTCCGTGCGTCCTCGTGCTGTCTTGGATTCGCCTTTGCTGCAAAAAAACGGCATCGAAACGAAAACGGCCCACGAGATCGCCAAAGCACCGTTTAGGTCCACCCCTGCTTTCTCCTTAGAACCTCCGGGCCAAGCTCGGACAACTCGTACTCCTCCCGGGCCGGCCGGATGATCCACTTCCACGCCCCCCTCATCACGAACGGCGAGCGTACTATCCATATCCACACCCACGCGGTCTGGACTCTGGGGCGCGATCTCGCGGAGCCGCCGTCGCACGGATACGTTCCGCGCGGGGGGCATCCACGAGAAAACGCCCCGTATCCGCGAGCGAGGTGCCGGCCGATGACCTGAGCTTTTCGCTCTGGGCAGCCGCACGCAAGACCGCAGCATTGCCTATCCCCTTCGGACCTGCGCAAGCGACAGGGTCACGTTATCCGGGGGGGGTGGGGGGTGGGCGGGCCACGTAACCCAGGTTACCCGCCAGTCGGAAGAAGTAGGTGAGACATGAAGTAGGCAGGCGGATAGAGCAGATCGGGTTCGGGCCCGCCCAGAAGCATACCGATTCTTGAAGTATGAGGGCGCCGGCAGCACCTTCCAGGGTTTTGCTGAAAGGTGCCCCTCTGGCCCCATGTATCTCCTCGGGGCCCTCTAGGCCTCGTGAGAGGTGCTCTGGAGGCCGTGGGCTCGGTGGCGACTCATGGGAGCCTCCCATACCATCTTGTCGGCTCTGGCGAATCGACGCTCAGCGACGCTAAATCGGCGCTAAATCGACGCTTCTCGACACTAAATCGACGATAAATCGGCGCTATCTCATCGACTCGCAGACGCCAATCGACGCTACAGACGGAATGAAGAGGGTTTACAAGGCTACCATGATTTGCTACCGAACGTGGGAGCCTACTTGGACATCCTGGGGGCACCTTGGGCTGCGGGCACTTCTCGCAACACCCGCACTTTCCACGACAGCCGTGCATTCCTGGACCCTCAACAAAAAATCCTCCCCGACTCTCAACAACAAAAAACCTGCATGTCCTCCAACAGGCGGAGTTTGAGTGAAACACACACGTACATTTTTATATATGTATATATATATACATATATAGGCATATATATATATATACATACATACATATATACATATGTATATATGTATACACATGTACACACACAAGCAACCGAAAAAAACGACACATATCCAAACATGGTCCAAAGTAGAAGCAACGTCGTCCCCGGACCATGCTCTGACTATGTTCGAACATCCCCACTGTAGAAGGGCACGCCCGACTTAAGCCCAGCCCGCGAGGCGGTGGATACGGATGTGTGCTTCGCCCCCCCGGCCTCAGGGCGTCGCCGCCCGCCCACTGCACCAGCGCGAGGGCGGCCTGCTCCATCGAGGGCCCAGGCGGCCGGCGCAGGGCTGCATCGGCCGCCGCCGGCTCGATGCGGGGCTGCCCGAGTCGCGCCGTCGCGACGGCTCCGCAGGCTTAGCCGCGAGCGAGCACGGCGCATGCGAGCTCGACCCTCGACCCTCGACCTCGAGCCCTCGACCCTCGACCCCTCGAACCCTCGCAGCCCCGAAGCCTCCGGCCTCGAGCTTCGAGCCCTCGAACCCTCGACCTCGAGCCCTCGAACCCTCGCCCAGAAATATTGGCAGACTTCGAGCATCTGGGAAAAAGGCTTCTCGTCGTCACGGCCAGATTCGCCTCCAAATTCTGGTCAGAACTCGCACCGCAGGAGAGGTCTGGGGGTAGATCTTTCACCCACGAACCTAAGCCCCTTCGCGACGTTACCCCACGCCCCTGCAAACGGGGTGTTAATAAACGGAACAGGGGGCCAACACCACCAACAACAACAACAACCGCTCAGCACAAACAACAACCGCTCAGCATGGGGAGCTGGCCCTGGGGAAGGGGTGGCGGTCTCGGGTAGTCCACGTTGCGAACAAAACCAGCTTGCTTCTGGTCTCTCTTGGCCTTAGGTCGATTTGTGGCATGCAGTGCTGCGGTGGGGCAGGTGGCGTATGGCCAGAGCAGTATTTGCAGAGTCAGTCTTAGCGATCGTATTACATGTTCCCCGATTGCACTATTTGTTCGAGCTGCTCCTGAATCCATTCGTGGCGTGGGGCGTCGGGGACGCGACATCCACAACCGGAGGGCTGAGGACACCGCCCCTGCTGCCCCCCCCCAGCGGTGATGACCTGTGCGCGGCGCCTGTCTTCGAGCGCCGCGCGCAGGTCAGCATTGCTGGGGGGGGGGTCGGGGTCGGCCCCTTGGGGTGCGACAGTGGCGATTTCCTCGGCGCTGTGGTTGTGGTTGCCTATCCCTCGCCTCCGCCCATGACGCCACCGTGACTGCACTGGGCGGGCGTGCCAGATTGCCACATTCTGCTGGCCAGGATATCCTGAAGGATTCCTGCGGGCCTCCCTCCTCCATCCGCCCCTGCACAACGCCCGCGCGCGGCGCTCCCCAGGCAAGAGGATTGGGAAGGGGTGCAAGGTGGCGAGGCCCTTAGAAAGAACCAACTTGGACCTGTCGCAATGCAGTGTGGACGCGGCCGCCCGCGCGAGCCGCCAAACCCTGAGTGTCCGCGCGAGCCGTGCAACCGGGGGGAAACCCAGGGCACCCCGAACAAAACAGCTCCCGAACGCCCGCGGGGACCCCGTGCCGCGCGGAGCGGACAGAACCAAAGGCACCCTGGCGAAAAGCAGCCGCCCTCTTGACGCGCGGCTCCACTTTTACCCAGACGCCGAGCATGGGGCAAGCAAAGGGGGCCCAGAACCGAGGGGTGCAAATATGAGGTCGGGCATGTCCCCCTACAGGCGGATTTTGGAGGACAAATTAGGAGTAATCAGAAAGCTTCAAAGTATTCACTGCGTGGAGCTCAGCATATGTGCATCTATTTGCACGGACTGGGTGTGAGTGAGTCTGAGTATGAGTATGATGAGTACGAATCTGAACACAAGTGAGTCTGGGACGTCCTCGCAATCTGCCCCCCTGGGGTGCGAAAGCCAGTGAAGTCTGAGTATGAGTATAGTGAGTACGAGTCTAAATCTGAATGGTTCTGAGCACGAGTGAGTTTGACGACGAGTGAATACGAGGGTGGGTGGGTCTGAGTGTGAGTGATTTCGAGCGTGAGTACATCTGAATGTGAGTGCGTCTGGGTATGAGTATGATGGATATGAAACTGGCCCTGAGTGGGTCTGAGTACGAGTGAATATGCCTACGAATGAGTCTGAGGGTGGGTGGGTCTAAGTGTGAGTGAGTCTGAGTGTGCGTGAGTCTGGGTGTGAGTGAGTCTGAGTATGAGTATTATGCGTGCGAATCTGAGTATGAGTGAGCCTGAGCACGAGTGAGTTTGAGCATAAGTGAGTCTAGGACATCCTCGCAATCTGGGCCCTCTGGAAGTGCGGAAATCAGCGCCTCGCCATAGACATCCTCAGAATCTGCGTTGACAGCAGACGAGTCTGACCACCAAAACACGCAAACCGCTTGAGACATCCTCAAAATCTGGCCCCCCTGGGGTGCGAACACCAGCGCCTCGCCTGAGACATCCTCAGAATCTGCTCCGAAAGCGGAGGATGCTGAGGACCAAAACATGCAGACCGCCTTAGACATCCCCACCATTTGGGCGCGAACGGCGGCCGTGCAATACCCCTGGCGGCCCCCCCTTAGGAGTGCTAAAACCAGCAAGCCGCTCGAGACATCCTCAGGCTCTGCTCCGAAAGCGGAGGATGTTGAGGACCGAAAAAAGGCAAACCGCCTGAGACATCCCCGCCATGTGGGCGCGAACGGAGGCCGTGCAATACCCCTGGCGGTCCCCCCTCAGGAGTGCTAAGACCAGCAAGCCGCTGGAGACATCCTCATCATCTGCTCATCGTCATCGTCATCGTCATCATTATCATCATCATCATCATCATCATCATCATCATCATCATCATCATCATCATCATCATCATCATCAGCAGCATTATCAGCATCAACATCATCATACTCATCCATCACTCACCATCACCATCATACTCCAATCATGCTCTCACCATGCCATGGCCATCATCATGACATTGATCGGCATTGTCTAGTGCAGAGAGGGAGGAGGGGAGGGGTTCTCGTGGTCCGGCGCGGTCGGAGAGTTATTCACTGCGTGGAACTCCTCATATGTGCATCTATTCACATCGACCTGTCCGCCGTGAGTCCAGGCGCAAGAGTGTTCGAATAGAAGCGGGCTTGGGTTGTGACGGTCTGGTCATGAATCTAACTTCGAAGGGATTGCAGCGTGAATGAGTCACGGTAGTACGAGCGCGTCTCTGCGCATCAGCCTGGGGCCTCCTGGGGCCTCCAGAAACCTCCTGGGCCATCTTGGGGCCTCCGCGAACCTCTTGGGGCCTCATGGGGCCTCTTGGGGCGTCGAATGGCCTCCTGAGGCCTCCTGGAGCCTCGCGTAGCCTCCTTGAACGTCCTGGGGACTCCTGGGACCTCCTAGGGAGGACTCGTGCCCCAGGAGAAGCCCGATCTATAACAAATGTACACAAACCATTGCGGATTGGACCCACAGGAGAAGGGCAGTCTATAGGAACACGCGTAAAACACCAAGGACTCGTGCCCCAGGGGAGGCCCAATCTATAGGAACATACGTAAAACAGTTAGGATTGTACACACAAGAGAATGACAATGTATAGATGTATATATACATATATATATATGTATACATATATATATATATATGTAAAGAGAGAGAGAGAGAGAGAGAGAGAGAGAGAGTGAGAGAGATGGAGAGAGAACCATACGTAAAACATCAAGAACCCGTGCTCCAGGTGAGGCCCAATCTATAGGAGCATGCGTAAAACACATGGGAGTGGAGCCACTCCTGTTGCCTTCTGAGGCCTCCTGCTCCTGGGGCCTCTCGGGGCCTCCTGTTGCCTGGGCCTCCTGGCGTTTCCTGAGGCCTCCTGGAGCTTCCTGGGGCCTGCTGGAGCCTCTTGGGACATCCTGTGGCCTCTTGAATCTTCCTGTGGCCTCCTGATGCCTCCTGGGACCTCATGTGGCCTCCTGAAGCCTGCTGGAGCCTCCTGTGGCATCATGGTGAGAATAGGTGCCCACGAAGCTGGCCACCAAAACAAGCAAGCCGATCGAGCCATCCTCAACATCTGGCCCTCCTGGGGGGCCAACGTGAGCGCCTCGCTCGAGACATCCTCCAAATCTGCTCCAAGTGTTGGGTACCAAAACAAGCAAATCGCCTGACACATCCCCGCCGTTCGGGCGCGAACGGAGGCCGCGCATACCCTGGCGCCCCCCCCCAGGAGGCGCCTCGCACGAGACATCCTCAGATTCTGCTCCGGTAACGGAGGATGTTGGGGACAAAAACAAGCAAACCGCCTGCATCCCCACAATTTGGACGTGAACGGACCCCGCGCAATACCCCTGGCGGCCCCTCTTTCGGAGTGCTAAAACCAGCAAGCCGCTCGAGACATCGTCATCATATGCGCATCGTCATCGTCATCGTCATTATCATCATCATCAACAGCACCAGCATCATCATCATCCGCAACATCATCATACTCATCCATCATTCACCATCACCATCATACCCACATCATTCTCTCACCATGCCATGGTCATCATCACAACAAGCATCTGGTATGGGTTGTCTGGCGCGGTCGGAGAAACAACAAACACCCCATCCTGTGGACACGGGGAAAATAATCGAGAAATCGTCCCAGGTTGTTTGACGACGTTAAGAATTTATGCATATGTATATATACACATATATGTATATATATGTGTATATGTGCTTATATATAAATGCGTATGTATGTATGTATGTAGGTATGTATGTATGTACGTATGTATATGTATGTGTATATATATGTACATACACACACATATATATATATATAAATATAAATATCGCTCGTGCTTCCGCACCGCACAGTGTCCAAAGACTTACTGTACAGCCTTGTGAGGTGACAGGACGAGCGCCCTCGCAGCTCGCACTGTCCTCGGTCGATTCAGGTATCGGCCACCTTATACTAGGAAGTTTCGCTTGTATGTTGTACGCATGAAAAGCAATGACTGTGCGCTCAAGCGCAAGACGCTGCGGTAACTCGTCTGATTCTCCGCTGCAGAGGCCCAGACGAACGAGAACTGACTGTGGATTGCGCGATTGCGAGTGCCAGCCACACCGTGCATACCGCCTGCCACAGGTGTGGGCAACGAACATCATGAGACATGGCGTCCAAGGCGCGTGGGTCCTCGGAATGGTGGCAGCCGAAAACACATGCCAAGGACAACTTTTGAGCGGATTTTGAAAATCCGCTCAGAAACTGTCCCTGGTTACCTCCCGGGATTCTTCGGGTGCAATGTTTCACCCGGGATCCGCTGTTCACGGTCCCAGGGCCCTAAAACGGCCCACGGAGAAGGAGGGGGGGGAGGAGGAGGAGGAGGAGGAGGAGGAGGAGGAGGAGGAGGAGGAGGAGGAGGAGGAGGAGGAGGAG